CCCTTGTGGTTGCAGGTGGCAAGGAAGTAGGAACAGGGGGAGGCAGTGCCGGGGGTCTGGGGGAACATGGGCTTGAGTGAAGGGTGCTTCAGAAAGAGCAAGACGGCGGGTTTTTCTCTCTTGGTGTGACCGGTGGCAGTGTCGATCAGCAGTGCCGCACAGNTCTCTTGGTGTGACCGGTGGCAGTGTCGATCAGCAGTGCCGCACAGTTTTTTGCGCGCCCGAATATGCGTGCGACAGCTTCAACATAACCACTGCTGTTCAATACGGTGTCAGGGGTACCAGGAAAGACGGGGTCGAGTTTTGTTTGATTTTGGCTGGATGAGGTTGGGGTTTGTTTGCTTTCTCCATCTAAGGTTCGTGCCTAGAGCTCAGCTGTAGTGTTCAACCAAAGCTTAATGACTTAGAGGCAAACATTTCTAGCTATTGGGCATCGAGATAGTCTGTCTTGGCATGACCGCCTTTACCATCGACCTTGTTTGCTGCATTTATCCGCAATTGTCGGAGGGTAAACAAAATAACAATCATTGGGATTTCGTGGTGTTTTGATCATTGGGGTTTAAATCTCTACCGCTTCCACGCTTTGCNTTGGGATTTCGTGGTGTTTTGATCATTGGGGTTTAAATCTCTACCGCTTCCACGCTTTGCAAAAACGGTGTTGAGAAATATTGGCTTTCTAGGCGGAACATTTTCGGTTGTCGCTTTTGCTCAGCACATAGTCACCACAAGCGACGCAGCAGGCGACGCAGTACATGCCGACCACCCAAGAAATCAATCAAGTTCCCTGTTCGAGGCCCCCATTCTAGGGTGCAGCCGGCGTCTACAGAAACACAACTTTAAATCATGGCATGTCAAATAGTTTTCTGCGTGAAAAAAGAAATAGGGAAATCAGAATAATGCTCGGGTCGGGTCAACGACTAAGTTAGCGTCGGGGATAACGTAATAAATTTAAGTGTTTCATTGTGTTGGGATTTACCTCAGACCAAGAAACCACCCTAGGTGGTATAATGCACCTTTACATCCCAACCAGATAAGACTCGGGGTATTCCGACACCATGGTTTCGCAGGTAACGGTTTAATGGCTGGAAATAAGCAGCAGTCAGCAATGTGCCAGCGCTCGCCCTGGCCAGCGTTGCCGGGTTGTGAGCAATAGCGAGTGTGTGAGGAAGAAAGTAATGGTAACAGACAGATTATGACCTGATGAAGGGAAGCGGCATCGACCTGCACACAGCAGTGGTTGGGCTAGCTCTACACTTCACTGCCGGTGGTTGGGCTTCATTCGAAGGCGACGGCATCCAACAGCGCCTATATCATTTCAAGCGAAGCCCGCTTTTCGGGATTTTCCGCCGGTCCTTCCGGACAAATCATTGTTTTCATGAAAGTGTTTCGTCACGTAGGTAAAGGGCTGAACAGGTTTGCTCGTAGCCCGATCCCCCCGTCTACTTGAGAAGTTAACACCGTGGTAGATTGTCCTCGGTTAAAGCGCTCCTTTTTTGAGATTTCCGACTCTTGCAAGCGTTCTTCAAATGGAGCGATTAGAACTTTTTAGGTTACCCGCGGTAAACACGCAAATCCACGGTAAAAAGGTATGATTATCGTTTCTTTTCACGTTGTCACGGATTATGCATGACGGCTGGCTTGGGCAACACACATACGATGTGTGTGCACGGGTATTCACTCACGTAAAACATGCAATTTCTCCCAGGAACCAAGGAACAGCTCAGCCCGCGCCCGAAGCCTTTAGGCACTCAAAAGTAACTTCAACCAATAGATGCAGCGAAAGACGGTTCGGGCGAAGATAAAAGACAGTAAGTAGGTTTCAAGGCGTAACTGCCCAGAGCGCTCACAATACACGTCCTTGGATTCGGCGGCAGCAAGCGGTGCTCGATTGCCATCCTCACGATGATACCTTTTCGACATGCGTCCTGAAATAAATGTGGGCAGCACCTAGCGAATCTCCGGCTCTCGCTGATTCTCGGCACAGTGGTCACACCAGCATTAGTAGCCACATTTTTTGCGTGCGAGACACCTCATTATGGTGGCAAATCCTATGCGGCATGAACTGGTACCAGTACCTTTGGTTACTATGATGGGAGTATTCACACACACCAGAACCCAATCTGAATTGCCAATGAAGAGTCCGTGGTTCACGTTTCCTATGGTGTTGTCGTTTGTCCATACCCTCCTGAGTTTTATTTATTGTGCAAAGTACCTTCCTCAAACGATTATCGTTTATATTTATTTCGAAGTCATTTTATGAGGCTGTCGCAAACTGCAATTCTACCGTTTTTGCCTGTCAGTTTAAAATCGTGCAGTTAGGACTCGGCCTTAACTGCTGCTGTTTAGAACGTGCGGCAAGAAGGTGAGTAGGGCGAAATTTTTTTTTGCACTGGCACGGGCCTCCACCGAACTTCATTTAACAATCATGGATTTCGTTCATGTAGTGTGTTCGGCAGCAACAATGCGATCTTTGTCACGGGCGAACTCGAGACACAAGGTAAACCGTGAACGAAAAGCAATTTTGTTCAGTGTTGAACCTAATGTGTCGTTCGGAATCGCTTTTGCTCATGAAGGTTTACGCTCATCTGTTCCCAAATGTTTTTTGCGTTTTATTTTCACGCGTCACCATCAAGGTCTCTGCTTGAGCGGTTCATTCACAGAAGAATCAAACCGCTCTGTGAACAAACCATGCCAGGATTTACCGGCACGCGTGTGCCACGAACAACCCTTACCACCCCGGTTTGAGACTTTCCTTCGGAATTATAATGAAGTAGACCCTCTCCGATGATGAGACGGATGAAGCACTTCTCACCGCTCCAAAAAAACATACATCAAACGTCATCGAAATATTTTACAAAAAAACTTTATCGTTGCGGTTCTGTCTGTACATGTATGAAACGGCGGCGAAACGGGGTAACTTCATGTTAAACATCGCTCAGTAAACGGTTTGGAAATCTCACAACTCAAATACAAATGCATTTTACTGACGTGCGCTCGTGAAATATCAAGTCGTTTTTAACAGAAAAGCATAAGTCGAACAACCCAAATCGCCTGTTCCCCCGCTGAATTTAATGGACACAGGATCAAGAGGTACACGAGAGCAAGATGATCGGCAAAGTCTTTTCCCTGCTGCTGTGCACACTGATGGTGGCAGTTTTCAGCGCTTCATCAGCGTACGGTCAGGGTTCTTGCTCTTGTGGCGGACCTACCTCTGGCTCGGTTAGCACTGCCACATCGACCAGCCTTATCGATCCCTTGGAATGCGGTGACGATGGTTCTTCCATGTGCGACACCGGCTACGCGTGCGTGTGCGACTTCGAGTTGGAGATTGATGTCGACACCAGCGCCCTGATCGCCGGCACTGCCACGGAGCCCACCGTTACTTGGTACTGCAAGCACGACGGCGGCGATGGCCAGTGCACATGTGAGAACCCTAGACTGGAACAATTAACACAGACTCAATTGTTTAAGTCCATCAATCCCCAAGCGGATAGAACTGCTCGCTTTTTTGGGATTAGATCGGTCTGCTACTTCGCAATTCGATGTTTGTATCAACCTCTTAGACTTGCCCAACACTCTGTGCACGTGTTCATTGCCAACTGCTTCGACGAACACATCTTGTAGAAGATGACGATGCCTCTGTTGTGTACCCCGCCGCATTACTGAGCAACCGATACGTTTTGTGTCCAGGAAATGTGTATAGCATTATGTTATTGAAATATGATACCTCCAATTTTCACGTCTTGCCCGATTGGTAAAACCGATGCCGAGAAGTCGTTTGTTTTGGATTCGTCGCCAAATTATCTTCCAATCTCTCTCTTATGACTCATCTACTCGTTTGGAGGTACGCCCGATGAATACTGGCATTATGAACTCCATCAATCCATGAGATAGTTTGTGGAACCTGTTGTCCGCAGGCTTGCCCCTTCTCCCGACCACTTCGAGTGGCACGTGTCTTAAGATTTTGAGAAACCATGAACCTGCACGTTGAAGTCCACGGGAAAGGCATGTTGAAACCCTTTCCCAGACGGCGTGCATTTGAGTATGGAATGAAAGAATGACTTTCTGTAAAGCATTAGTACCCACGATAATTTGGACAAGTTGATGCCTCACCCGAAATAATAATTACTTCCCTGTTTGAACATGAACGTATTGTCTGAACGCACGCAGCCGTCGAAGACACCGCCTAATGCCCCGTGGACACCGAGTCTGCCGCTGGCCACGTCCGCACCTTGGTCTCCCGTCGACCGAAATTTTGGGATTGGGTCACATCGAGCATCCAAAACTATTTGAAGAATCGACACTGCTATTTTTTTTAACGTTTCACGGATAATTGTGTTGATTGGCATACGCAAGGCGTCGTTGCGCTTTTAGCCTATTTGGGTCGGTGCTCGAAACATTGCCGCCTGCGCACTGCTTCACAAGATGTTCTGTTTATACAAATCTCGCCGTGGTACGCCCGCGCGTGGCTCGCCGGTTACTCTCAATGGCTCTGTCGTTCGCGATGTGGTCCTCAATGGATCACGGTGTGCGAGGTAGTTTTGGAGTTCCTGATCCTTGATCAACTATAATCTTCGTTTCTAGTTTGGCAATATGTGCTTCGTACGCAAGGTCGCATTTTGGATCATTATCGGACGGTGAGCGGTGAAGAATAGGTTTCTGCATATACAACCTTCAGGGCGGGCGTATGTAGGAAGTAATTAGGGTTGATCGCTGTATTGCGTTGTTTTAAGCGCGTATTATATTTGAATTATATCTGGAGATATTCGGCATCGTCGATTTGGTAGCTTGAAGGATGGGAAAGGCAGCCACGCTTTCACCCTCTCCGATTGGGTTCCGAGCGGACCTCCGAATAAGGCCAAAAGAAGATTTCCAACAACAACCAAGGGTCCGAAGTCATGGACATTATTACCTGTATCTATCCCTTCTATTCATTTGTCGCACTTCATTTACATCACGTGCGTGCGTATTTTGACGGCATGCAACTTCAGTGTAAAGCGTGAGGGTCCACGTCTACCTGTGACGTCTCCGAATGCACACAAATGTCTATTGTGCATGCTTTACACAATTGCACAATTCGTACAGAAAATCACCATGGGGTCGGGACGCCTTCCAATATAGGGAGGAGAACATGCTCTTCTCACCCTGATCGTTGCATCGACATCCGCGGTGTTCCGATCGGAAGAGGATCATGAGAAGCTGTCGAAAGTGTCATTGAAATGATCAAAATAGTGGTTCGCGAAAACGGCGCGATTGGGCGATATCTTAATGTGGACTGCGTTTAACGCTGCGTCTGTTGGTTGTTGTTGTGGTATTCACATTAAAGACTTTCCCGGTCTCTCTATCCAGTACTCCCTTCTGTCTCAATCTCTCCGTATATCCAGCACTTGACTCGGTCGATTTCCGTGGTCTCAGGCTAACATGCTTAGAAAAGGTATGCCAAAATAAAATGGACGCCAAAGGTTAGCAGAGCGATAAAATACAAGAAAACAGACTTACGGGAAAAATGGGAACGTATTCAAAAAGGAGAATGGGCGTTTGTTTTTAGAAAGCAAACCACGCCTTTGCAACTCCCCCCCAAAAAGTTGACAGTGCTGTAGTAGGTCTCTACAGCAGCTTTCGAATGAGCTGTTGCTCAAGCTGTATGTCCTCGGCATCGCCGAGGTAGTCAGCATCGCGAGAAATCAGGTCGAAACCAGCACGAATCGCTTTTTGCGCCCGTGAGAAGGCTTGATGTTGTTGTTGTTGTTGTTGTTGTTGTTTCTCACATTAGCTCTATAGTCCACAAAAAATGGGGAGCCCGTGGTCTCAAAACCCGGCACATACGACGCCTATGGAGCATGGCGGTTCTGATGAGCTCATCTCACAGCTGGGGCGAAGGGGTTTAGCAGGATAATTTTGGTTCTTCTGTGATACACCCGATGGTTCTGAAGAAAAACGCCAATTCTCATTTCTGGATACGTTCCCATTTTCCCGCAAGTCTGTTAGAAAACAAAAGAATCAAAAACAAATATATAAATAAATAGTGGGACGTGCGCACCACCAGCCCGGGCGGTGGTAAATGTTCAACTATTGGGAAAAAACCACATACGAATAGGAAAGATCGAACTGCGCGAATACAACAGTATTTCACCACGCAAAAAGTAAATTTGCCACGCTATATGTATGGTCGATATGCATCCATCCTTCCGCCTGTCTTTACTGACGAACGAACACGTGTTTGTTGCCTTTTGTGGGTAATTGTAGTTACGACGGACAAACAGCAACTGCCGATTACGCTGGGTTTTAGCTCTCCATCCCCTTACACCTTTGATTTTTTTCTGTAGTCAATGGTCTCCGTGTCTGTCTTGCGCCTATACTCCACTTCTACTAGCTAGACGACCCAATCGTAGTCACATAGCAGGGAGGGGCTGGACCCCCTCCTGCGGTTCCCGCCTTTTTTTTCGCGACAAGGGTATAGCAATCCCTTCCCTCGCTACTTACGAAGTCGATATTGGTTTACCAACAACGACCTTTGCAGTTCGTCGCCTTCATCCTAGACCAGGATTTTTGGTGAAAAAAAACTCACTCTGTCCGAACTCGATCCCATGACCTTGCCCTTAGCAGGCTGCGAGGTTACCCACTAGACCACCAGGTCGACCGGATATGTCTTGGCCCAGTTCATTCACTACCTCATTATCGGTACTCAAACCTCGCGGTTCCTCCACAGTACACGGGCACTTTAAGAAGGTCATGCCCTCCACCGGGAAGCTGTTTTTTGTAGCAGTAGGCCACGGTAGGGGTCTAGTCGGAGTCCCAGCCTCGGAGGTACTTACGGTGGTCACACCCGTAGATGATACATGTAGACTACAGACCAGCTCACCTTTCCTCTGCTTCGGTTCGAGGGTTAGCTCAGTTAGGCAAGCAGCACAGTTCCAGAGCAGCACAATCCAATGTCCACTCCGTTAGCACGAGTCAGTATCGGCACAGATCACAGTGTCACAGTTCAAGGGCGCAAGGGCTTATTCTCTTTTTTGGCTCAGGGCGGTATCGAGAGATACCAGGTTGGCGGCAGGAGCCGGGGGGGCTCCGTGCCGTATCACAGACATTATAGTGGACCAGGGGGTAACGGGCCCCCCGTGGACGGATCCAACTAGATCCACTTATGTCTGCCGCCCTCCGTGCTCAGGTCTCCGTTCCTTCGCACATCATCGTATTAGTTGCCGTCAGGGGTTGAACCCTTCAGGCTCCCGTGGGGATGTTGGTCCGCCGCCGCTACAATTCACTTCGTGAGCTTGGCAACCAGATTACCGTTTTTTTTTTTACCTCCGTTTCTTTTTTTGGCGGTAACCATAATGGTGGTCGAGTCGATCATGTTGTGCGGGGTGGAGAACCCTCACTCCGCGCAAGGGGGATGATCGCACCACGTTGTGTTAAAATGGTCAAACTCCCTCGAGGCTGTTACACAGTGCTTACAACTGTCTCTGGAAGTGAAAGCACCAGAAAATATATTAATTCATACGCAGCTGTCATCCGTACGCAAGAAGTAAGCACAAGATGCCTAAAACCCTTACAAGCTGGTCCAGCCAAGAAACCAACTTGCGTTCGTCACGCCATAGCTTATCGAGGAAAAAGAATTGAGCCGCGTTCGGCATATCCCCCGAATCGCCCGACCAAGGCGGGTACGCACGTGTTAGCAAACAGCTGATTGTCCCAATTCTCTCAAAACGGAAGATATCACCCCCAATTCGTATAGGTTTTAAAGAGACGCTAAAAAAACATTGAAACGTTTTTTTTGCGGCGGAATTACAGTGCCGGAAAGTGTGAGACCGATTTTGATTGACCGACCATAACTTCACGAGTTTTTCACTTTTTTCAATTTTATTTTTTTAGTAGTGATCTACATCCTATTTGCCACAAGAGTTGTTCAGGGACCAAATCGATTTGAGGCGTTCCTGGAATTTTGTGGTTTTCGTATAGGATTTTTAAGGCATTTCCGGGGGGGGGGGGTGATAAATTTTGATCTAATATTTCGGCAACCACGAACTCAAAACACCCTGTACCTCTTTTTTTTTTCATTGTATCGGCGGGGCTTGAGTAGAGAAGAACGAAGATACTCATGAAAAAAAAAAAAAA